ACGGCCAACCCTTGCCTCGAACCTGGAATGTAGATAATCTAAAGAAGTATTATTTTTTATTGATGTAAATAGCCAAGAGCTACTAATAAAAGTTTGCTATTTTGCTTCATCTATTTTGTATTATGAGGGGCATGCCGCCTGCTCCATTAGCAGCCGGCTACTCTCCATCTTCTCATCAATTGAGGGCCATGCCAACTGGTAAAACAGTCGGCTACTCTCCATTTCACTCAAATATGCATTCAATTAAGAGGGGCACGCCGCCTGTAGCTATACAGTCGGCTACTCCACTATACTTAGTTTGCCATGAACTACCTAAGGTCTGTGGTCGAATAATCAAACCAGGCGCCCAACCAACTGATCCAATCTTTAAATTAATACAACCTGTCCCAACATCATAGCAGGCGTCCGACGACATCTCTCCGGATGAAATTCGTCGCAGAGAGCAGCTCCTTTTTGGGTGGAACATTGTTCTATAAACTAATTACACGGCACCTAGACGATTGTCCCCAAGGACAACCACGTAGCCGTTTTTGAGACAAGGATAACTCTAACACTAAACCAAACAAGTGTTAGCAGTTAACATCCGCGTCGGATGACCGTCTGTATTACTTGGGATAAGTACAGCCGGTACCTCTTGAGTAAATAGCCAACAAAAATTGGTGAATCAAGCGGATCAGCCGGCTTCCGCCGCCTGGTGCCTCTAATACTCAATCATAAAAGCTGACGAATGGGTAACCTGAAATATTACTCATAAGTAAGGATTCAAAAGATATGACGAGTCCGCCTGTCTAAAGGCGAACCAGAGCTCTTGTACCCCGACCCTACTAAGATGGTTTCTTTTCAAACCAAACATGTTTGAAAATCTGGTTCGTAGGTCGACTGCTTTTTGGCAAACAAGGACTCAAGAACTATTCCAATTTTAACAAATAGGCGGGCTGGTTATAAGCGGCCTGTTCCTTTCTAACTTGAAAAAGTTAAACAAACCTAACGTATTCCCTAAAATACGTTGGGGGTCCGACTGGGTAAATGGCCGACTGATCGCCTAACCTTGAACCAAGACAACAAGTCGTCTAGGGGCATAGGCACTCGGTACTTTGTACCTGTTCGTAATCTTTAGCTTACGATAAGTTACAAATTTTAAAACATTTTTAGCCGAAACAGTCGGTATGACATGTAAGCGGGTAGTAAGGATCCTCTACACTTAGCAAAAAACAAAGCATAAGAAATATTCAGTGAGCAAAGACAACTGAAAGATGGTCGCCACATTCATATAAACAGCCGGCCACAAAGACCGGAAAAATATTCAAAAAACCCCGGCCCCCTGGCCGGGTAAAGTGATACAAGAGCACACGGCACGCAGGCCGGAGAACAGAAAAAATAATAAAGCTGTAAGCATTGGGAAGGGCTTCGGTGTTAGCTGCCGCCTGATCGAGCTCAACGATGGGCGCTTAATTCTTCAAGGCCCCCTCTTTTGACGACTCGCCTTCAGGGGCAGGAGCTTTATGCGCATCCACCTCAATCGATTGCAAAGCCACCACCTCCTCTTCCTCCTCTGAGCTGGAGTCAACTGCCTCGTCTTCCTCAGCCGCCTGCCTCATGATCTGTTGGTTGTACGTTTTAGTACAAGCATTGAACTTTATCTCCTAGGCGGCATAGTGAGCTTTTGGGAAGAGGGTCGTCCAAGTCATCTTCATGATCTGAGCCGAGTCGTCCATCATGGCTTGAACTAAAGCCATCTTTTCAGACTCGACCTTGGCCTTGAGTGAGGTTCTTCTCCTGCTTTTGCAGGCGGTCTTTGACAGTCGCCAAAGATTTTTCCATGGCCTCAAAATGGGTCTTTCTTCTGCCTAAGAGGCTTCAGCTCATCTCGGAGACCCTTGACAGTCGCCTCCAGCTCGTTGTTCTTCTTCTTGGCCGCCTCCAACTCAGCGCGGATAGTGGAAGTGGCCTGCGCCTGATAATAAAGAATATCAGTTGTCAAAATTTCATTTTGGGCAATTTGAAACATTGCCTTATCAACGTCAGAGGCGGCTATAGCTTTATCAGCCTTTACCTCTTTATTCTTTGCGCTAATCGGCCAACGGAGGCCATGTACTCGCAGCAAGATCTGAAAAAGAGAAAACCAGGCGTCAGATTTTAAAATAACCAAACAGGCACCAAGTTTGAAAATAACAGGCGGCAGGCAAGGTTGATATTATAAAATTCTAAGTATACCTCAGATAGGAGACCCATGATGCTGTCTAAGTCAAGGGTACCGACTCCCTTGACAGCGTCCCTCTCCTCTAGAGGGATAGCCTTGATCATAGACTTGGCTATCTCGACCAAGTCTGGTTCTTGAGTGCCGCCTGCATCCAAAGAAGGGAAAGGTCAGAATAATGAAGAAAACATTGAAGAAAAAGTTTAAGTCTAGCAAAGCTATATTATACCTTTCGGCGGCCGACTGTCCCTAAGGACTTGTGATGGTTTACCCACACTTTGTGGGGTGATCGGCTGTTTGTGAGCCGACTGCTTCCTGGCAGATCCAGGCGTACTCTCAGCAGTCGTCTTCCGAACTTTTGAGTCCGGTTGTTGGGAGGAAGAGGGTTTGGAAGTGCCCGCCTGCAAAAAAATTTGAAATGGTCAATACTACTAATAGCAGATTTTCAAGAAACATTTGAAAGATCAGAAACTCACTATGGGCGTCTCCTTGGCAGGAGAATCAGAAGAGGTCCGCTTTTGCTGCATGATGGAGGTCCGCAGTAAGGCGACCGCCTTCTTTGACGCAGAAATGTGGTCCATAGCTTCAGCTGAAAATAAAACTGTAAAGAGTTAGAAAAAATTCGAAAGCAAGGCCAAAGATGTGTACATATGCTCAAGAGGCCGGCTACCTCTGAAGGACAGACTGCTAAGGCCATAGGCGGCCAAAAAGTACTCGTCATAGAGCCATTGAAACTTTGGGACGCAGTTTAGGGGCACTTGCTCTCGTACCCCAGTAGTAGAGTTTGCCCTAATCTCTACTTTGAAGAGTCCTTGATCAAGGATCTCTTCCCTAGCCTTGAGGGGGACAAGTGGCATGCTGCGACCACCTCCTAGAAGAGGCGGATCCTTGTTTCACCTATTGTAGCGCTTGTTCAGCAACTTGTCAGGGCTGGCAATTATGAGGAAGGTGTTTCTCCAGTCCTTCCATTTATTTTCTTTGCCCCTCGTCCTCAGATAGCCTTTGTGGCTTGTTATTTGATACCAGCCGGTACCGCTTGATTTGGGGGTTCGGCTGAGGTAATTCATATGGGTGAACGCCTCAAAATTTGGCTCCACCCCATGCATTTCACACCCGGCTACATAGCCAAGGATGTTGAACCAGGAATTCGGGGCTAACTGCCATAACCCCACCTCGTATCCATCGAGGATTTGTTGAACGACCGGACGCAAGGGAAATCGTAGACCAGCCTTAATGGCCGCCTCATAACAGCCAAATCAGGCGTCCCCATAGCTGGCTCCAACTGGCCAGGTGACGGCATCTTCAGCATCCGGCACAAAAACTTGGAAATTAGGACCCATCACATGGTCCGATAGAAAAGAGTCTATTCGCTCTTTCATGGCCTTGATGCGGCCCTTTGGGACATGACAGTAATAAGGAGTATTCAACTCCCTACGAGAAGCGGATGGTTCCGACCAGTTGTCCCCCTTTTCAGCCGCATGAGACAGTCTCGCCTCATGCAAACGAGAATGCCTTTCCTCTGAGTTTATAGAGAGGTGGCTTGAAGAGATAGAGTCAGACTCGCTATTAGAAGAGTCCGACACCTCCCCTCTCCCTGAGGGGGCCGACCCCTCTTCTTCTTCAGGGGCCGTCTGCTGACTGGCCAGGTCAACAGTGAAGTGGGAAGGGGCTACCTTAGCTCCCTCCTCAGAGCTCTTAGCAGAAGGGCCACCTTGGGTCCCTGCTGTATTAGGCGGCTGGTCCGACAGTTCACTAATCTGAACCCGGAAAAAGGAGCCATCAGAATTTTCAATCCTCTTTGTCTTTTTTGTTCTTGCCATACTGTCCTGCATAGATACAAAGACAGTCGGCACCCCTAGTCCTAGACTCAGCCGTCCTCGGTGATCAGCTGATTGCTAACCTAAGGTCGTGCCGGATGCTTTTGAGGTCTCATTTTCAAAAAAGAAATAAAAAGTGCAAAAGCGAAACAGAAAAAGGATAAAGGAACAGACGGTTACCTGAAACTTAAGTTCTGAAAGAAAGCTTGATCGAACAGGTGTCCAACAAAAACAGGCGGTAAGTAAAAGCAGTCGTCTAGAAAGTCAGAGCTCAAGTTCAGGGGTCCGAGAGTTCTCTTGAAAAAGTTCGCAAATGTGAACAAAAGACTTGGTCAACATGCCCTTATATAGGGTAGAATGAGAATGCGAAGGGTCACTTCTGAATTCAAAAAATGAGCGGGAAAAATCCTCGGCCCGTCATAGGGCGACACCTGTAGCAGGTCGTCGCCTGTTACAGGCCGACACCTATCACAGGTGACATGTGAACAGTCACGTGCCACCTGTGAGGGGCAAATGATTAGGGGATTTTTCCCTACCAATCACCATCTGACAAATGGACCATTCAGGCTCTGCCAAGTGTCCGCCATATGGATCAATTGGAGCCTGCCACGTGTCAAGTGTTGACTAGCCCACCTTGGACCTCTTATGCCACGACACGTGTCCTCCCCCATGCCAAATGGGAAAACCGGCCACCTAGGCCCAAAGTCTTGTGGAAGCCCAATCAGCCCTAGGTTGACCTAAACCTAGGACTGGCACACATCCCAAGGCATATAAATACCTTCATTAATCCTCATTAAAGAGGATACAGCAATTAATTACTCTCACCCAGAGAACCTAAACACATTGATCACTACTCCCCTAGAGGAACTAGATCTCCCAACCTTTACTTTTTCCGCACTTATTACTCCTCAAACAAGAACTAACTTGACCGTCGGAGGCGGAACTCCCACCACAAGGAGTCTCCGTTGTTTTGCAGGTACAGGCGCAAGGAGACCAGTCCCGGAATTGTAACTCTCCCACAGGACATCAAAAAACCCCGAAACACATGTTATAATGTTTCTTATTCATCACGCTACAGACCATTACCCACTTAGAAAAAGTGTTAAATGTAACAACACCATCTCCACATTTAGCATCATCTCAAGTATCCACAACTCTTAAGTACGTTATCACCGAAAAGGATCACGAGATGGTGACTTCCACGTGGTTACGTATGTTAAATACTCATGCTATGGTATTAAAAAAAAGGGGTGTGACACTCTCTATACCAATACCAAAATGCATGTTTCTTAATGAAGATGTGGGTGTGACGCTTGACTACGAGGACTTGTTGGATTGGTGTTTTAAAAGAGAGGTTGGAGAATCCCAAATGAACATTTTCATAAAGTGAGTGTTTTTTTACCAATTACCCCTTTAGTCTTGAATTTATTTGTGTATTAACTTCAACGTATACAACTTTTGATGGGGCAAGGTACTTGAAAGGTCATTGTCAGAATGAAGGTGTCTCGGGTATGTACGGATTCTGTGACACAAATGTTTTATCTCCAATGACACCAACTATAGATGAGGAGGTTCGATCTGACTATCTAGCTCGTGTTTTTGGATGCAACGAGGGAAAGAATGTCAATCAACTCTTCTTTGCTCCTTATAATGACAAGTAAGTGTACGTAGTAGTTAGTTAAAGTATGTTCGTCGTTTTCCTCAAAGGCAATAGCCTGGCTTTGCATCCAAGTATTGGTTGGTTTAGTTTGCTTCTTTGACCTTTTCATTGGCCGTATACAGTAGCTGATGTCATCAGATTTTGTTAAAGATGTTTGGTAAATTCAGGCATTGTTTAGGTAGTTTGATGATGCTTTGATGCTAAAAGGTCAATTGCAGAACTATTTTCCTATTATATACTTGCTGCTTAACCTTGTTAATGGATTTAAAACTAAGCAAAAAGGCTGGAAATAATTAATGTACCAAGTAAGGTCAATGATGATCAACTGTATAGCTTGATGTTTAGATGATGTCACTGCAATGCTCATTCCCAATGATAAGGTGTTAACTGGTTTAAATTCTGGTTAGTTTCCTAACTTTCATCCAGGAATATGTAGTTTTCAGAAATTTGTTTGTCGTAAATCTCATGCTTTGTATCCAGGCTTCTGAGTTCTGACCATGGCTTTTTATGTTTTCTTGTATTGTTCTTCTGAGTTCTGACCAAGCCTAAATGCCTAATGCAAACCGTTATCTAAGTTTAGGGACTGTGATACAAACATATACATAAATCTTCAGGCATCATTATGAAATTATCTCTCTGTTTAGATATAATTGCCATGTTGTCCAATCCTATCATGATTAAGGATCTAACATAATTTCATTCAGATACCTACCTTATATTAGTTCCTTTATTTTAAAAGGGGTGTACGGGTGTCATAGAATATTCAGTGTTTGTCCGTTGCTATTAGAAACACATGAAAAGTTTAGGGCAAAATCTTGTGTTAAATTTTAATCATCTATATATGGTACAAAGAGACTCCCGATGCCCTAATGTAAAGCAGAAGCTACTTTTTTTTTAACAAATTGTGCTTTGCCTAGAGCCTTCTTAAATATTTGATCGGTTATTCTATATAATTACTATTCAATATTCACCATTGATTTTTGCTAATATAATCACTATCATTGTGTGTAGTATGCATTGGAGGTTAGCTGTTATTAGTCCTTGGAATGGACTAGTGTGCTGGTTAAATCCGACCGGGGAAGAAAACGAGATCAATGAGTTTTCTAAAAAGATCATAAATAAGTACGTGTTAGAGTAATTATCCAACATATCTGTTTTTTGTATTATATATGCTCTATTATTAATCATTCATTTCATTATTTTTGTCAAACAATGTCACAATTTTATAGGGGATTAAAAAAATTCAGCATGGTCCATCGAAAGGACATTAAGAAGATAAAAAAGGATCCATATATTGAGTGGAAGCAACCTAAGGTATGTCATTTTAGTTTATACTCTTGATATTAAAAGAATAATGTGTTATTTAAATGCTTGTGTTATAATGCCAAATTTTCATGCATTTAAAATTTGAATGTCTTTTTTAACAGTGTCCTCGACAACCTCAATACTCCAAGGTTTGTGGATACTATGTTTGTCGCTATATGCTTGAGATTATACAGAAAAGGGTATTGTGGGTTTCTGATAAGGTATGTTTAATCTGATTTATGCATTGCTTTTTAATGTGAATTTATGTAGATAGTTCAGAATCTTTATTTCTATAACTTGGTTTATCATTACCTTGTTGTCTAAGTATCTCGAATATAGGAAAAAACAATTATGTCTCTTGACTTATTTCGAGCTTCTAAATATGCAAGCTTGTGTTCTTTTTTTTTTTTTTTGGTAAGTAAGCAATTTTATTAATACCAAAGAGAAGAGGGCAAGCCCTCAAGATTACAACGGCTAAACAGCCCAAAAAACACACAAAAACACATGGCACACCCAATCCTACCCAACTGCCTATACACAAAAAGCCGAGAACAATAATGGGCCAAAAGCACAACAAGCCCAAAGAAAAACTAATAAACAACAGAACAACACCAAACAAGAGCTCTACCCCAAACAGAAACACGCCCAAGGGAAGCAAAAGCCCCAGGCAACCAGAACAAAACACGCTGAAACCAGAAAGGGCAGCAACCAAACACAACAAAAACCACAACAAATCAGGCACACCACGACCCTAAACTGTCAGAAAACTGAAAAACCAGAAGCAAAGAAAAAGCCTCCAACAGCCCTACCAACACCAGTTCACAGCACACAGCAAGCAAGCCTAAAACAGGCTGCTAACAGGACATTATGCTGAAATAGCTACCCATACAAAGAGTAGCAGCAGACTCCATCTCTTTCTTTCCCATACAGGACAATATTGTCATCAACATGTTGGAGCTCTTCAGCACTGCTACAACAGCTACCAGCATCTTCAGCCCACCTTAAACAACCCCTTTTTTGGTTCTGTCTTCTATCCTCCCCCTTCGAATTAATCCCACCAGCCTGCACACCATTAGGTTTGCCCTACTCCCTAGTAGCTGACCCAGAAGGATGCTGAAACATCCTGCCAGGATCATCTAATTTCTTGCTAGCAGGTTGCACCGGTCTCCACCTTTTCCTAGCCATGGATTCAGTAGGCTTCTTCCAACCCTTTTTCTTAGGACAGAAGTTCACCATATGTCCCATTTCCATACAAAAGGAGCATGTGACAGGCTTCCACTCAAAAAATATTTTCTGTTTCACACTTTCACCATTTTCATCAAGAAATTCAATATGTTGGTACAGTTGCTGCTTTGCAGGGAAAATTTACCCCTTAATGGCTCATTTTAATCATGACATTGCATATTTCAACCCTTATCATTATATTTATTTGTTTGTATGTGTAATTATTTTTTTTTTAATATTGTTATAATATAGCATTATCTTCCATTATTATTATGAATGAGTTATGACTATATACGGCGATTTATTGTTTATCTTGCAGTTTTTTAAAACGGACCCCTGTACATATTCAACTGAAAATATTGACGAAATTAGAGACTTGTGGCTAAGTATGTTCTAGAGCTTGAACAAGATGATGTTAATGAATGAAATGAAGATGGTATAGACATTGCGTGAGTTTAGTTTGTCCATTACTTTTGGGAAAAGTATTGCGATTTTTAGAATTTTTTGTATAGTACTTTTGGAGCTTATCTTAGATGGCATGGAAATTAAATGAGTGGTTTATATTTTTGGGGAATACTGGATTTTTTTTTTTTGCAGATGTTGCTGTATAGTATTTTTGGAGGTTTTACTATAATTATTGGATATGTAAAAGTGTTTATCAACTTTTGTTTATTATTGTATGTTCCATGAATATTATAAAATTATGGAGTAATGTATATGATGTGCATATATATAGCAGTGAAAAATATAGGTACAAATATCCTCAGATTCCATACAAGAACAAATACAGCTCATATACCGTACAGGAACAAATACAAATATAATTGGATTTTGGGAAAAAAAATTAAAAAATAAATAACAAAGAGACCTGTTATCGTTACTAACAGGTATTTTAAATAACAACTATGAGACCTGTTGGCCAAGGTAACAGGTCTCTTTACTTTCTGAAATATATAAAATAATCATGCGCAAAGAGACATGTTGTCTCACTTCTTAAGTCTCCTATTAATACCAAAGGGACTTGTTCTATTGACCAGGTCTCTTAACCAAAGAGACCTGTGAGCTAGAGACCTCCAAAGAAGAGGTCTCTTATGCCTATTTTAACAGGTTTCTAAGGCATATTTTGTAGTAGTGCTACGTAGGGTAATGGGTTGAGCATTTGCATAGTCAGTTTGACTCTCACCAATGTCAACAGCTGCTTCTAAATCACTTTGATTGTCAGTTTTGTCAAGTTGACTTTGTTGCTCGTTCTCTCGAACTTCATTGAGTTAGATTTTTCTCCCACTTGTCATTTTGGAAAGGTGCTCCTTCTCCAAAAAGACACCATCACGAGTAACAAACACTTTGTTCTCGGATTTGTTGTAGAAGTAATACCCCTTAGTTTCTTTTGGGTATCCCAAAAAGAAACACTTGTCTGATTTTGGGTGAACTTTGTTAGAAATTAATCTCTTGACATATGCTTCGCAACCCCAAATCTTAAGAAAAGACAACCGTGGAGGTTTCTTCGTCCATAATTCATATGGAGTCTTTTTGACAGCTTTTAACGGAGCTCGGTTCAGGGTTAGTGCCGCGGTTAGAAGTGCGTGTCCCCAGAAAGAGATAGGAAGTTCAATAAGACCCATCATTGATCGGACCATGTCTAACAAGGTTCGATTCCTCCTCTCGGCACTCCATTCCATTGTGGAGTTCCGGGAGGTGTTAATTCGGAGAGAATACCATTTTCTTTCAGATGATCGTCGAATTCATGGCTCAAATATTCGCCACCTCAATTCGATCAAAGTGCTTTGATTTTCTTGCCAAGCTGCTTTTCCACTTCACTCTGAAACTCTTTAAATTTCTCAAAAGATTCAGATTCGTTTGACATAAGGTAGACATATCAATATCTACTATAGTCGTCCGTGAAGGTGATGAAATATCGATAACCATGCCTTGCGTGTGTACTCATTGGTCCACATACATCCGTATGTATTAGACCCAATAAGTCACTAGCCCTTTCTCCTAACTTGGAGAATGGGTGCTTTATCATCTTGCCTAATAAACATCATTCGCAATTTTCAAACGACTTTAAGTCGAATGAGTCAAAAATACCTTCATGGAGAAGTTTCTTGATGCGTTTGATGTTAATGTGGCCAAGACAACAATGCCACAAGTAAGTTTGATTCGACTCAATGGTCTTAGCTCTTTTGGTGGTATCATTAACATTTGTCTAATCACATATAAAATGTGTAATTTCGTAGAACATATAAGCAAGACATTCAAAAAATAACCATTGTTATAGTCTTGTGATCAAATAGCCCGGCGTCCAACGCCATAGATCAAAATATGTTTAAAAGCATGATAAGCTAGAATTAGTTCATTACAAGCCAAAGACAAATAATGTGCCTAAAAACACGACGGAAAGACCATCTTCATTGTCCACTCGTAGTTTCACTGTTGCACATCCACTTCTGAAGCCCTCTCACTCGGTCCCTGAAAATGGGAGCATAAAGTGAGATATACATGGTATCCAATACCTATGAATATTTATACACAAGTGTTAATGAAGATACCTGAGGTAGATGAAACATTCCTCTCCTCCTCATCCCTTTTGAAGATCTTGCATTCCCTCATGTAGTGGCCTTGCCCACCACAATAGATGCATCGCATTTTCGCTTTGTTCTTGAACTCCTTCTTCTTTTCTCTCAAGGGCCTTTTGGTTGCTCCATAGGAGGTGGCTTGGCGAAGTAGCTACACCACATCTCTTAAGGAGTGTGACTCCTTTCCCACAGCTATATGCATCCTAAGTGCATCATAGCTCGAGTGGAGTGAGGCAAGCAAGATTTGACCCACCATCTCATCATCCAAAGGGATTCCGAGAAGCTCCATGTGCTTGAAGAGCCTAGTCATTCTAAGCACATGAGGTTGGAGGGGCATACCGGGTCTCAATTTGGTATTGTAGACCCTTGACCAAAGCCGGTACCTCTCCTTAGCAAGGCAACCTTCTTCCGGTGGCTTTATCTTCATGTTTGAGAGTGACCTAGTCACATCAAACACAAGTCCATCATAGTTTCCATTGAGACTCTTGGTGACTCTCACATTGACGATTTCCTCAAGTACTTTGAGGAACATGTCCGAAAAATAGGAGGAGAACTTTTCCTTCCATTCTTCCGGGGTGGAATTAGCCATTGAGATCTTTTTGCAATCAGAAGACCATGCATCATGAGTCTCATCACTCATGATTCCCTTAGAGAAGAAGCTTGGAATGAGAGTATCAAGAATGTACTCCATGGAACAATTCCGAAGAGTTTTTCGGAGTTCCTCTTCCCATTCCTTGAAGTTGACCAAGTTTAGGCTAAAATCCAACTTGTCAGAGAGTTCCGGACACATAAAGTTGTTGTTGATATTAGATGCAGTCATGATTCTACAATTGAAAGAATTTGCAATGAAAAACTATTCATAAAACCAATAAGTTTGATATTTAAAGCATACATGCAAATTTTCAATCTTATTGAGCGTCTTATCCACGAATTAATATTTGTCCCTTTTAGGCGAGAATAAAACGATTTTAAGATCCCAAAAATCAAAAAGTGATTAAGCATGCTTTGGCTTGTCTTAACACTTAATATTTTAAGGTAAGCAATCTAATTGCTAATAGCTCTAAGCTACTCTTGGTTCGATAAAACGTTGCATCTAATGCTTCCTTGACGTTTTATCTCCATTGCCACGAGATCTAAGGACTCTTTACTGATATTGTTGAGCTTAACCAAGACCAACTTGTATACTTAGTATACCTTACGTTCCTAGGGAAGTAGTGATGCGTCGCTTTGGCGTAGCCCATCACTACACGCATTAGTTCGGTAAGTGTTGTTCTTAGAATGGCAAATTTGGCTCAATATTATAGGGACCTAGGGTTTCTATGTTGGTTGATTTAAGTGAACTTAATTAATCGTCGCAACATTCGAAATCCTAAACATGCATCTAACATATCGTTCATATATATAAGCATAATTATATATATATAGAAAACATAAGTAAAAGATGCATTTGGCAACTAGCATGACCCCTTGAGTCTTCGAGTCTTCAAGGGTTTTCGATGCATCCTCTTGGCTTGTCTTCTTAGAGACGCCGTCTTCGAGACATCTCCACCAAATATGCAACTACTAGTTATTATGACTAGGACTAATATAAATATTAAGGTACAAAAATACGCAACGGTACGCATACCGTATTTAGATTTACAAAAATACATAATGGATTGCAGTCCGTATTTACTATCATAATCGGGCCCCACTAGTTGCCATTTTCATAAAACCTGTGATAGAATATACATTCCATTCATCCATTCACTATGTGTGAATGGCCCATGCAGTTTACAACGAAAACAAGTAACAATGCATAACACGCGCAAACTAGTAACTAACTTAGGTGGTTAATCTGATTAACGCGCCTAATTAAAACTAGTCAAAGTTGTTAACCGATTATGTGACTAGAACGCAATAAAATTAGCTCGAGTAATTAACGAAGCTCCCACTAAATTTCGCATCCAACTTAATTAATCCAATTAATTAAGCCGGTTAACCAAATTTTGCCAAATTATTTTTGCAAGTGCCGAAAAACCGAGGCCTAGCCTCGTTAAAATAATAAAATAATTAAAACGGCAAAAACCGCAAAACACATAGCCCAACGATGCCCAAGTGCCTAGCACCAAGGCCCGAGGCTCGTTGTGCTAGGCACCAAAGCGCGACTTCTATGCGTGGCTGCTGCCCCTCGCACACCACTTGCTGCGCCAAGCACGTGGGAGTGGCTGATAGCATCGCTCGCGCGTTATGCTGGTCACATCAGCGTGCTTGCGTGCAAGCAAGACTCAGCCTCAAAGCCCCTAGGCTGTGCGAAGTTGTGCTGCCCACTGCCGCACACCGCAGCACCCCACGCAACGCACCAAGCTTACACCAAGCGTGCACGAAGCTCACACACACCGCACCAAGTACACCAAGCTCCGCATACACACGCACCACGAGACACGCATCGAAGCACCAGCAGCCCCGCATACCTCGGCAACCACATGTGGGTTGCGCAAGCAGCCCGACTGGCCAAGGGAGTGTTCGGGGCTTGTGTGCCTCGATTTGCGTGCTCGTGCTCTCGGGATTTTATCCCGATTTTTGTGTGATGTTAAAATTAATTCTAAATTAATTTAAGAATTAATATTGAGCAAAAAATTAAAATAAATCAAGTCCAACTCAAAATAAATTCAATTTTAGTGCACAAACCAAAATTAATTCAAGAACTATTCTTTAGATTATTTTTGGTTCATCTTGATGCTACAAAATTGAAGGGCTATTTTCACAATTAATTTAACCATACATAAATTAATAATGAGATTTGACAAAATTAAAGGGGTTGGAAAAATAAACACAATTATCCAAGGATAAATTTCCAACACTAACTTGTGTAAACTTGAAAAATTACATCTTCCAATATGAAGATTAATTAAATTTCAATCACAAGTTTTGAACTTTTAAGACTTTAATCAACTCAAAAATGATTAAATCCAAAATTAGTTCAACATGAATTTAAAAATTTAAGTTCCAACCAAATAAACAATTAAAGATTGGATCTTTATCACTTTTAGGGACTTCAAAATTACAAATTCACTATAAACATTCACACTTGAAGCAATTAATTTGCAAAAATGTGAAATTGCAAGTTTATGTGAAAAATGAACTCACCAAATTAAACACCAAATATGACTTCATAAACATGCTTAATAAGGGTTATTATTGCAGTAGATTAATGATGTAACCATACACATAATCTAACATTAACATGTCATAATTAATCAAGATTTAAAGATTTAAAATTTTTCGTCAAAACGAAAAACCACTCGAAAAACATGTTTCTAGGTGGATTTTGGCTTCTGGATAGCCCTTAAAAAGAATCAAAAATGATTTAGAACATCAATTCCACCCAAAATTTAATATTTTTGGGTCGAAATCTAGGTTCTTGAGCCAAAATTAGTATAAATACGAGAATAAAACTAATTAAAACGAGCTTCTAATTTAATTAGAAAGCAAAACCAAAAATTTAAATCCTTTTTAAATCGCCTTAATTAATTATTTAGTTACAATAATTAAATTAGCGCGGCTCCAATAATTGGGTTTCGTAGTGTCCGACACTACGCGGATTGAAACCCTCCCAAAATCCTCACACAAATTAAAGTAACTAAACATGCATATTAATTAATTAACAATCACATAATTAATTAACATGGAGAGAGAAAGAAGAAAAGACAATCTTACCCTTGACGCATGCTTCGCTCTTTCTAAGAGCTCGTACTTGAAAGTGTTAGCTACGCAAATGCGAAAGCCTCCAACAATTCTCACCCTCGAGACCCGACCCGAACGGTCCCTACCTCGCAGGTTAGTCGGGGCTAGACCAAGAAAGCTTAGAGTATTAGAATTAAGGTATTCTCTTCTTGTCCCTTCCCAATCCCAAATGATGGGTATTTATAGGGAAGGGAGCCTTGAATTCCAATCTCCCATCAATGTGGGAGAGTTGGTAAAAATGCACTTTATTCAATTTATTTTAATTAAAAAATCAAATTGATAATGAAAGTGAATCAACAAACGTCAAGTGTCAAGAGGTGATCAAGGGGGTTAGGTGAAGACCACAAGGGAGGACCAAACTCCCCTTGCTCCCCAAGCAATCCACCAAAAATCAAGTGCCCACCTTACATGAGCTGGCCACGCACATGTTGGCTGGCAGCATCCTTGGTTGCCTAGCATCATGGTTGGGCCTGCTAGCTAACCCACACAAGCCTACGCACAGCCAGCAGGCCACGCAAGCCATGCGGGCTGCTACTGCTGCTGTGTTGCTTATGCTTGTGTTAGGTGCTGCCCAGCACGCAAGCACGAATAGCCCATAGCACAAGCACGCATAGCGTGTTGCTACTGCTGATGCGATGCTTGTGCTAAGTGCAGCCTAGCTGCTGCGTTGCTTGCGGCTGGGTGCAAGGCCAAGCACACTAGCACGCTAGCACGCATGGCGCACCAGCTTCTAGCATGCGTGCAGCCAGGTGCACCAGCCCTGCAAGCATGCTCGACCAGCAAGCCTAGCACGCACACGCATGCTTGGTTTGCGGCCTAGACATGCGATGCGGTTGGTGCCCTATGCTAACCTAGCCTTCGCATGGCTAGGCCAATGCGAAGCTACAACTTAGCTTGAACTAGTTGTTTGCTTGATTTCTCGTCTCGTCGAATTATAAATTCGACTCGACTTACGACGCTCTAAGCTCGATATCCGACGTCTTTGTACATAATACTCTATTGACTCGTCTAATCCTTCGGATTGATTCGTCGCCTCGGATCGGTTACTCGATTGGGGTGTGACCCGAAGGGTTCAGTTAAGTTTAAGCTGTAATATTAATTATACATTAATATTACTGATCGGAAGCGGCCTCCACCTAGGCATTCTGATCATATGACCTCACTGAATAATTAGCTTTCTAATAATTTCGAACCCTCTATCGTAATAATACACTTGTTGGAAGGACACCAATGCTTTCAATGTCGACATTAACGGAGAGAAAATTGCGTCCATGACCCATTAAAATTAATAAGGTAGAGACGCTATGGTTAGATCTAGACGTTTGTGGCATACGTGGAAAAGCAGCACAATCATCTAGGTGATATTCATAGTAAGAAGTTTTAAATATACCCTGCATAAATGGGTGAAAGGACGGTCCAACCCCGATGATAAACGATAAACGTTTATCATCTTTTTTTTTAATAGCAAAAATATTTCATTAATTAAAAGTCATACGACATCTACAATAGAGATTTGACGTTAACAAATACATAAGATATTGAATCAAATAAAATTTTCCTTCATAAAAACTACGATCATCGAGTAGATCTTGCACTGTGGAACATCTACCGCTTATATCGCTGGAAAATACAGTCTTGTTGGAGAGACAATCTAACGATACTTTGCTTTCCTTCTGATTCATCTGTCTGTTTTCAAAAACTTGATAACTTTTTCACCAACGAAATGATTTCACGACAATCCATTAGATCTAATATCATGGATTCAAAACTAAGAAATTTCTCCCCCGAAAAGAGGTGATAAACCTTGTCTTTCGAAGGAGGTCGAAAAACCCTTGTCTTTTGAAGAAGATCGGAAACCCTTTCTTTCGAGGGAGAAAAGTTCCTCCCAGAAGGAGGAAGCATTATTATAAACCTAAAACAACTTTAAAGAAACAAGGATTTGGACTTTTCACCGGTTAAAACCGATGGAAGCCCTTTTAAAATTCAACAATGGAGGCTAGGGTTTTGGAGAGAGGGAGGAGGAGAGAGGAGAGAAATTAAAAAAAAAAAAAAAAAAAAGAAAAAAACATTTATTATCTAGATCAACAAGTATTTTCTCGGTATTTTGGGGTGTTATACGGTTTGGGTTTTTTTTTTTTCGAGGGAGTGTTATAATCCATCTTTCAACTTTTTTTGTGGTATTATTTTGCAATATTTCCTAAAATGATAGAAATGACTAATGATGTGAACTTATACCGTATACTTTGATCAGAAATCTAGTAATTAGTTTCAAGCTGCTTAAGGCCTTCAACTCAACTCTATTGTGTGCACCAGAAGAACAAAAAATACTTAACCTCCATTGTCATCTCTCTCAATCGATCTTTCTGCTTTTCCTAATTTTCCAAGGTCAGTTATTTTCTTATAATTATCTGCAATTAGTTCTATTATTTGATCATTCTCAGGTTGTTCTCAGACAAGTTATCTTCAAATTTGTTGTTATTTCTTTAATTGACCCTTTAACTTGATGAATCGATCATTTTGGAGGTCGATTGATGATAAATTGTGAGATTAGTTGTTAAAATTGGAGTAATTTTTGTTGACAACGTTCTCAATTTGGTATTGTTAATGGATTGAATTGATCGCAAACTAGGGTATTCAAATTCAATAATCTAGTATGATATTGTCTGCATTTTGAAGAAATATGATAACTAAAGGTATTTTTAGTTGGACTCAACGATTATGCTAGGGTTATTTGCAATTAGATTATTTGTCAACAATTGTGTGTTATCTCAATGCATGTATTTGACTGGTTATACTTGTTGCATCATCAATGGTGTCTGATAGTAAAAAAGTTCTTTCACCTATTTGATTGATTATTTGTCAACTAAAGGAAAGGTGCTTTAATTCCGGCACGGGAGCTGAGTTCGAGTTTATCTATTTGATCTCGTCAACTCGCTTGCACCTTAATCCATTGAGGGGTTATGGTTGAGACATGAATAAAAGTTGAAATCATCTGGGATTATCATTTCACCTTTGTTGTTTAGTTCCTAGGGAATTCATTCTCATTTGAATGGGGAAAAAAAAAAACCTCTCACTGCTTTATTACTCAATACTCATGATATGGAATTGTGGAGTGTATTATTAGTTTTATTACTATGAGATAGCCTTTTTTTTTAGCTATAGATATAGAGAATGGTTAAAGTTTTCTAAATGTGTGAAGTTTGTTATTTCTAATTATTTTTTTTATTGATTGTTTCCAGTTTTAGAAAACATCTTTATTTAGGTATGCATCCATGAAGCCATGAAGGAAAAGAAGACTACATCAATATTGCAGCGCATCTTTGTCAATTGTAGTGCACAGGTATTAAAGAGTAACACAAGTCTATTATAAGATTCATAACTTTGTGCCCTGTTCAATTTATGTCATAGCTTTTAAAGTTTAAACTACTTGATTAATTGATGTTAGTAGATTAACTTAGAGATGGAACTATTCTACGCGTGGGTATGAATGTATGATGGAGTTGGGTTTGCACCAGTCACGGCTACTTTTTTTTTTTCCATTCTATTTTGTGGGGAAGAGAATTTTATCTTACACCAACAAAGCATTAAGAGTACCCTATGCATATCTAGGTTTTCCCGCTGACAGTCTTTCAATAGTTTTAGCATCTATCAACACTGTTGTGTGAACTTTCCATTTTAACAAAAGTACTTTTTTATTATATGCGTTTTCTTATGTATTGTTTATAGGTGCCTCCGATATACTTTGTAAATGTTGTTAACATTTTAAGGTAGCTTTTATATTGAAGTGTTCATGATTTATATGGTCAATTATGTAACTGACATGTTTCTCAAAACCATGATGCTCACCTATCTTTGCCACCAGAGTACCAGACACAAACATCACTTCAGGAAAAATATAGTGAGGGGATATGCTAGGGCTATAGGTCTCCCTCCTCAAAAAAGATAATATTGTTGTTTTTTTCAAAATCAACCTCTGCTAGTATCATTTCCAGTTAATAATTGTCAAAGCGTTGTTCCCATCTTTCTTAGTCTATATTTCATGAATTGGACTCTCTACTTTATTTATTTGATACAGTTCACCATACCAAAATCACCGGCCATCCTTTCCCTTCTATGGGCTACTTTATACAAATCTTTCTTCCCGTCTCTATCTAGTTTGAATTTGAATTGAATTTTTTGTTTGGCTGTCAAAATTAAAGAAAGGCAACCAATCAAACCTCCTCTTCCTTTGAAGTTTTGTTTGGTGCTCTCTCTGTTCGCTGGCTACTTTACTCTTGTTCAACCAAGCTGCGACATTGGTGGAAGTTGAATCTGTAGCTTTAGGAACTGCGGAATTTAGTTTTGATCCAGTTGCCAGGTCGGCAGTGCAGTTTCTCCAAATTAACCATGGTCTTTGAAATATTAATTGTTCGACAAAAATTTTCAACCTATTTGATTGTATTTTTGAAATTGATTTGGGGATTGATGTTATGTGATTGAGCTAGAATGTGGTCTTAGGTCATTTTGAAATGTTGAATTTGGAGTAATATATGTCAAATTGTGTGATTGTGGAATTGAAAGAGGTCGAGAGTAGGGGGCAGGAGTAAGAGATGTAGGGGAGGAAAGATTGCTGTCTAAAGTGCATGATGAGCAATTGAACTGCCGCTTGTCCACTTTACATATGCTCCTGTTAAGGCATTCTTTGTTTAAAATCGTCATTTACTAAGGCATCCCCATGACTAGCTATAGGATCTCACCTTGATTATTGGAGGTAGAGAAATTAGGAGGATGGTGGCAGGTGTGGAGGGGGGGGGGGGTCCTAAATACACCTTTCCCCTAGTTGACAAATAAATTTAGAAGGCTTGAGTTCCTCTGAAGATGGCAACTTTTGTGCGGACCTTAGTGTCAGGTAGAATTAACACTAACATTAAGCTCCAAGGATTGCCATGTCACCAAAATGTGCATGTTGTGTCATGCCTATAGTGAGTCCCGCTCACTTATCTTCCTTCATAAAGAGAAAAGAAGTAATATTTGGAAGAGACTTTTTGCTGTCTATGTGGACTGTGGAATACTGGAGTATGAACATGTTGTGGCATAATGCTTTTATGGGGATTTTCTAGTGCTTATGGGCTCTTGGCTAAAAAGACTGCGGATGTTTTCTTAGGTTCTGTGCTAATTAATGATTTTCTTTGGGATATAATATTTATCTAGCATCTTGTGTGCTAAGGTAGCTGGATGTTTTAATAGTTAGTAGTGGGGGAAAATTCAAAGTTTCAATGTGATCTTAGTACAATTTGTCCTCTGTTATATTGCAATCTGTTTCTGCTGTTCACTTTTAAAATATCTCTTTATCAAAACAGGAGTTGAACTGCCATCTTTGAGGGCGCTTCTGGTTCATTAGTAAAGGGTACTGGCAGCTTCAGGCTGGGTAGAGGGGTCGGGATGGCTTACAGAGGGTGATGACTGATGGTGAATGGTGATAGTACGCTCTCTGTGAATCAAGTGGTGTTAGATGACAGAATTATGTAAAATCAAATAGCCAAGTTGCAGGAATTAAGATCTTTGAGGGACGGGAGTGAAGGGAATGCTGGCAATCAGAAGGGATTATTGATGAAGTGTAAATTTATCCCAACTACATAGTATATTTAATTTAAGAAATAAATGCTGAACCAATTATTCAGAGTAAAGAAAATTCCCTTTCCTTTCTTGAAGATCCTAAACCAAATGACACATAATATTTAGCCCTGTATTTATATCTGTCAAAATCAAGAATGTTCATTATGTTTTCTCTTAGCTCATATTGACGTTTTCTGATAGAATCTCATTTTGCATTTATCATATGGTAAAAGTATGTTGCCAGTGGCGGATCCAGAAAAAATATTTAACGGGGTCAAAATGCATTTGATAAATTTTAATGGAGTCATTTGATACAAATATAAGCAATTTATTGGGGGAAAAAATAAATAAATAAATAAATTATAACAATTTTTTTTTTCATGTTCAAGTGGGGTCAAGGGACCCCACTTGAACACCATGCATCCACCACTGCGTGTTGCTGTTTCACCTTTGTGTTTGTGTTATTCTATTTTAATCCAATTGCTTTATATCTAGGCAAAGAATTATGGAAGCTGTGTTGCAGTGAAGATTCCAGAAGTTGAACATAATATGTGCGTGAAAGAATTTTGTGCTCTGAAGAATTGTATGCAGAACGTGGTACTGTTTTCGTAAATAGTGTATTGGATGCTTTGAGCAGTGTTGAAACCTTCTTGTTCTTCTTTTTGTATTCATCTGATGTATTTGTTCTCTTGTAGCTTAAAGGCAAGCCTTAGTGTGGCAAATTGATTGATCAGTGGGGCAAATCTGGAGTTGCGACCAATAGCTTTTGTAGTTGATTTAAGAGACCACTTCAAAGGAGCTATACGTGATTGTTGTGTATACCAAAATACATACTTAGGTAATTATGTACATGACTTCACTCTATACATTAAAATTAGAAGCTCATAGATATTGTGGAAAATGTGCTGCAGCAGTAACTTGTCTTTTAGATGTCTGATGTAATTACAATCTTGCCTTTCTTTTCTTCTATTTTCTTGCTCATTCTGGTTCATTTTTTCTTTTCTTTTTGTAGGCTCTCAATTCGTTTCTTTTTCATAGTGATCCTTGGTTATCTATACACAGAAAGCCGAACAATTTTAGGGAACAAGAGAGGGCATATTAATATGAACAGCGAAGCATCAAGTTCTCAAGCCAGTATTGGCTTAAGTGGGTCAGGTGCTTTGTCACATGTTTATATTCAGTATCCCCCTTTGAAATGCAGCTTCCCAGGTTCAAAGGGCTTATTCTATGATGATGGGAATAAGTTATTGCTATCCCCAACATCTGATCAGGTAATGATACATAATGAATTAAGATGATGTCGTAAGGATTTGCATATTGCTTCATCAAATATTACCAGCAAAGTTATTTTTTTCCCATGAGTTATGTAAGGCAATTTGATATCTCTTGCTAGGTTATTTCGTGGAAAGTTGCACCTTTTGAGCCTAATGTTGAACGTACATCTGATTCCGTAAGCGAAGGTCCTGTATTATCTGTTCGCTACTCTCTAGATAATAAGATTATAGCAATTCAGCGGTCAAGCCATGAGATTCAATTTTGGAACAAGGAAAAAGGCAACTCGTATAGCCACAGGTGTAAGCCCGAGTCAGAGAAGATACTGGGGTTTTTTTGGACAGATTCCTCTGCTTGTAATTTTGTACTTGTGAAGACTAGGTATGTACATAAAAACCTGAAATGTTGTTGGTTCTGAGTGAGTATTTCAGAACCTAATGATATTTCTTCGCCAACTTTTTCATTATTAAAGTATTAATGAGAAAGGCATGCCCCATTATCTCAAGAATCTGTCTTCCTCTCCTTGTAAGATACAACATTAGACCACTATTAGATTGAACATATTTCCGCTCTGCGGAGTAAGAAAAAATGTAGAAACAAATAATTAACATTCTTTTACTGTTGAAACATAAGGAGCTTATCTCAGGCTATCTGCAGTCTTCACAACAAATCTAGGAGTTCAGAAATAGAATCTTTGGATAGCACTCCCTCTTCACCAGTATTAATAAAGTGAATAAGAAAATAAAAAATTCGTAGGATCTTGTTCGAAACAACTTGCGATTGCAGTTGTAATTTGTGATAATGTCTGCATCCTCGGAAAGGGGTTAAGTTGTAATGTTACAGTTCATAATGTGAATTTACAATAGAAAAATTTCACTTTGTCATTGTAACTCGATAGTTTTGGTGCATATCTTATAGTTTTTGCTTGATGTAATACAAAGTATTTTAAAGGTATAAACTTGTTAATTTGTGACGAAAATTGTGGATTTTAGTACCATGTGTGATGGTGTATATAAGGGATTATAATCACTATGACGTATAAAGGATGTTTGGCATGAGTTTAAACAATATCATCTCAAACAAGCTTTTTGTGGAAAGCCAAGTTGGAAAAAAGAAAAAGAAAAAAAAAATATATCCTTCTGTGAGGGACTGGTGACTCAAACAGCAACTTTTTGTTTCCAATTTCTGTCGCATAGTCAACAATGCTTTAAATGGACATGCTACTCCGTCTCACTCTGCTGTCCTCAAACTCCTTGCTGTTTATATATTGTTGTATAATTGTTATAGGACATTTTTTGCCTATTATATTCTGCTTTTCTTATACCAGAAAAGAAAATCTCTGTAATGCTTTGATCCCTTTGTTCCATTTCTGCCTATAGCACAATTAGAAGGAGTCATATATCTCATAGATTCTGCATTTGATTTGAATCTCAATTGTCATATGGATGCAAGTGGAATGGACATACGATAAGAAGACAAGCTGAGAAGTGCTTACAGAAGCTATTAATTTCATTGTAGTATAGACCTAGAAACCAGTTTCACCAAATTACACTTCTTAAGTGTAATGCATCATTATTTCTCTGGTCCTGTATGTATTCAAATCATCTAATTGCTTAACTACATTCATAATTACCAGTGTGGCATCTGCAGTATAATTTCGTAGGATTTGTGTCAGCTTAAGATCTTAGCCCTTGTACAGTCCTCAATACAGCTTGCAGACTGCAGATTCTTAATCCATTTCATGGGCTTAATGCCATATTACATTTTCTTTTGTGAAAGCTTTTCTGCATGTCTGTAATATGTTCTACTGACCATCATATAATTAAATACTACTAGGATGCAAAATTTGGTTCCTTAGAGAAGTTTCTGAGATATTGTAGCATTGGATGTAAAAAAACATTTCTGTAGATGCTAATGAAATTGTTTGAATACTTAAGCCAATAATCTCATATATTTTAAAAAAAATTCTAAGGTTTACACTTTTTATGGAAGTTGTGTTTAAACACATTTTTATTGTCTTGACAAAACGTTTTGAGTTGTAGATTCTTTGTTTCATCATTTCAAGCCTTCTATGTATGCATAATCATAACTAAATTCTAGTAATGCTCTATGACTGGTCTTTTAAATGTAACAGATTATTCAGTTGTTGTAGACTGGTCTAAATTGTTTATCTAGATTTAAGTTTTTTATATGGGGTATGTGTGATCATGATGATGTGAAAGACACTTGTAATGCAAATGAAGTATTTGTAATTTTATGTTTGTCTGAGTTTGTTGGTCAAGCTGTAAATCCTATACGGAAAGGCACATAATACTTTTCAATGATATGTATGTGGTTTGATTTACCTGTTGTCTTTAATATTGCAGTGGGCTGGACATGTTAACTTATGATTCTGAATCACAAAATATTCAACTTATCGAATCCAAGCGTGTAAATGTGAATTGGTACATCTACACACATGAAAGTCGTCTTGTTCTCCTTGCTTCAGGGATGCAATGCAAGAGTTTTACTGGATTCCAGGTAATGAATGTTCATAATATGTTTTTATTTATGGTTTGGAACTTGAGAGAATAATATCATAATCTGTGCTGGAAGGCCTCAGTGCAATATGACAGTTGATCAGGTTTTATGGTGTTTGACAATGCTTATACTTTATATAGTATAAAGGATAAAAGGAACAATACATTTAGACATGTTCCCTGATATATGGGACTAAATGTGAAAGTGTATTTGGTATTTTAGTTAACTTTTTTTGTCTATTTTTGGTTTGAGATTCCGCTCTGTCCGATAATCCCTCCATTGTTGACAAGCTTCAGCTTTGAGCAGAAAATGAGGAGAGAGAGATAGCAAGAGAGAGAGTGCTTTGTTTAACTTTGGGAAAAAAATAAAAGGGTAAAATTTTCTTTTCATAACAATTCAGTTTGTATAATCTATTTCCCTTCCAAATCTTTTCAAATTTGAAAAGATTTTATTCTTAGTCCATTAATGGACCTTCCATTCCCCTCCCTTCCATTTCCTTCACCCCCTACAATTGTTATCCAAATAATGGACAATGTCCCCCTCCCTTTCCCTTCTCTTCTTTTCCTACTCTTTCCTTGTATCCAAACAAGCTGTAGAGAGAAGATGGATAAAATAAAGATTAAAGAGGGAAAGCAAAACATTATTAAATTAAGTGGACCCAATTTGGGAATAAAAAGTTTGGACAAATATTCAGGGAGTAATACTTAGGGTTTTATATATATATATATATTATTATTATTATTATTATTATTATTATTATTATTATTATTATTATTATTATTATTATTATTATTATTATTATTATTATTATTATTATTATTATTATTATTATTATTATTATTATTATTATTATTATTATTATTATTATTATTATTATTATTATTATTATTATTATTATTATTATTATTATTATTATTATTTATTATTATTATTATTATTATTATTATTATTATATTATTATTATTATTATTATTATTATTATTATTATTATTATTATTATTATTATTATTATTATTATTATTATTATTATTATTATTATTATTATTATTATTATTTATTATTATTATTATTATTATTATTATTATTATTATTATTATTATTATCCCCCCCCCCCCACACACACACACACTCCCCCTTCTTAAGTGCTTAACTCTAAAGCCTAAAATCAAGATAGAGAATAGGGATGTGATTAAACTGATTGAGGTTTGTAAGAAGTGTGATCTAAATTTGCTATGCTAAGCTTGCACACATATATATATTTGGATGAGAAAAAAAACATACACCATGAATAGATAAAACAATGCGACCAACCAAAAAGACTTATGCAATTGTCTACCATTATAAAGTTCTTTTTTTATACTTGAAATATTTTTGTTGTTCATCTATAAGATTTCATAAAATCACGTGGTTAGGAAAAAGGGTATTGGCTTTGCAAGTTGGTGGAATTAGGAAAGAGAAACCTAGAATGGAACGCTATGGTAGTTGTGTTCTTGGTTTGGATTAGGGTTATCACAGGAAATAAGTGTTATGGCAAAACTAACTATTTTTCGTCGAGGTGTGTTTTTAAGAAAATGCAACACCTCATTTTGTTACTTAAATTATGTAAGTTAGGAATGCCTAAAATCTTTAACCACTTAACGTTAATATAATCTATATTTAAGTTAGTGGGAATGTGAAAGAATTAATGTTGGTTACATGTAATGAATTAATATTAATGTTTTTTTAAAAAAAAAAAAATTATAAAAAAAAAAAAAAAAAAAAAAAGTTAAATGGTGAGTGTGACATGTGGTGCTATTGGTTTGTGTGATGGTTAATCTATATTTAAGTTAGTTGGAATGTGAAAGAAATAATGTTGATTACATATAATGAATTAACTTTATTGGTTTTAATATAATTTTTTTATAAAAAAATAAGGAAAAAAAAAAGGTTAAATGGTGACTGGTGAGTATGACATGTGGTGCTGTTGGTTTGTGTTATTATATACTAAGTATAGATAGATATATACATTTTTGTTATGCAACAAAAGTACCTCATATTTTAGGTTGTATTTTGATAATTTGCTTCTTATAAATAACTTACTGAATAAAGGACTTTGCAAAAGAGTGGAAAGGAAATATTGGGTTATCTAGGCTTTTTTTTTAATATAACTTTTTTGAATTAATTTTTTTTTATTGGTGCTTAATTGCCATGCCAATGGCTGGATACAGTTTATATAGCATATATTATTATATTCACTTCTTTAAGAAGAGAATCAGAGATCCCTTGTGAGTTAATGCTTGTTCACCATTTTTATTTGTTTTCATAATTTGTCTGAAACATGCCCATTTCCTCTATGTAGCTCTCATCTGCTGGAATTATTCGCTTGCCAAAGTTTGAAATGCTGATGGCCAAGTCTGTGGCCAATAGTAAGCCAATCCTAGCTGCCCAAGATGTCCACATAATCACGGTGTAAGGCTTGCAGAGCTGTTACTGATTATTCTCCTTAGTCTGAATATATGTGAGCTCTCTGAAATATTTAAACCTTTACAGTTATGGAAGAATATACTGCTTACAAGTTGATAGAGTGGCCATGCTGCTCCATTGCTATAGATTTTATCGTGATGCTGTTGTACCACAGGTACTTATTCTTATTTGTTCTTTTTCTTTCCTCTAACCTCTGTTAAAATATTTATAATTTCTATTCGCCATCAAATAATGATTTTGATGCTGTTTTTTGGGTGATGGGAACATTTTCTATTGGAAGTCACATATCATAATTACGGCTGGAATACTGGAATTACAAACTTGAAATGAGAGTATCTTCTATCATGAATTAATAATCACAGATTCGCATTATCACTAACTGGCACAGTACTGGAGTTGCATATTTGAGATGAAAACATGTTATTTTACTCTACTCTGATTTTCTGCTGGTGGTAGGTCTATAATTTGTCATATGTTTCAGTCACTTCACCCACTCTAAAAGTTACTGCCTATTGTTTCTGAAAGTTCTTCACACTTTCTGTTTCGTTCATTTCAGAAAGTACTTGACTCAAACCCCTTCTACTACCTCATCCTCTTACCCAACCATATTTATTTTTTTTCATTTACTCTCTTAATTTATCAACCTTTTTCATATAAACTTACCTTTTTACACCCTCGTTTACTTCATCTACCTTTTTGTTACGCCCACTCACCACATCATTCTCTCCAATTGCCTTAATATGTGTGCATACTGTAAATGTTAAGAACTTTCCGAAACGGAGGTAGTAGAAATTTGTGTATCGCTTGATGGGTGGAATCTAGCCGACGCATTTATGCTCATGAGCCTGCTAGTGATGAAAATAATTTTCAATTACCATCTAGCCAAGTATGCTTTTGTACTAATATACTGTTATTTTCAGGGCTCTTTACCCGTTTATTCCAGCAAGGTTTCTGTGAGTGTGGTTGATAATGTATTGCTGGTTCATCAAGTGGATGCAAAGGTTGTCATACTGTATGACCTTTTTGCAGAGTCTAGGGCGCCAGTATCTGCTCCACTTCCGCTGCTTTTAAGGGATTATCCTAGAGCAAGTATGTCTTCTACCTCTAGTCCTTGTAGCAAAGGTGATGGACATTCAGAGCCGAAACCAGTTGATGAAGATGAGACAACAATTTACAGAGGTGGATGGACATTTTTTAATCCAGATCTTATATGTGATACCAGTAGCGGACTATTGTGGAAAATCCATTTGGACTTGGATGTGAGTACTACTTTAAATTTTAAAGTTGTTTAAGGGCAAAATGCTGTTGTTACATTCAATGCCTTTTTTGCAGTCTATATCTGCTAGTAGCTCAGACGTACCCTCCGTACTAGAATTTCTTCAGAGACGGAAGTTAGAAGCCAATAAGGTAGACTATATAACCTACTTCTAATCTTCTATATGGCAATTGCATTATGAAGTAAAATTTTATTCCACATTTTTGCAAAAGGTTATTCAGTCAGCATTCACTTATGCTTTATTCTTTACTTTTTCTCTGACTCAGGCTAAGCAATTATGTTTGGATTTAGCAAGGACTATAATATTGGAGCATAGGGCAGTGGGTATTGTTGCACAATCAATGGATGTTCTTATGACTTCTTATTCCCGTGCAATTAAGACGGGCAATTACTTCAAGGGGATAATAGCTGATAAAATTCTTTCTTTTGATGTCCAAACTGCCCATAACCCTAGACCTGCCACTGATGAATTCTCCAGAGGAGATTCAAGTGGAGGACCTATTAAAATGGACTCCTCTGTGATCCCTGATGAATATACTAGATCTTCAACAATTTCACATTCAGAAAGTTCTGGTACAAAGATTCAGCAATCGTCCTTAGAGTCTGAAGTTCCTGGTCCCAGTAGTGTCCCATTGGATGCTAATAATCTAGAGCAGCAAGAATCTCAGATCACCACTGCTGCCATTTCTCCTGATGAGCTATACCGCTTTGTATTTTCTTCTGTAGATGAAGAGATGACTGGGGATCCTGCTTATTTGGTTGCTATCCTTGTTGAGTTCCTTCGCAGGTATCCAAATTGATATTCTTATACTCTCATAGCTCCACTTCTTATTTTGCTTCTCCAGCGAATTTCCCTTTCCGGGTTTATGTTGATCATCCTTACTTCCTGCGGAATACTAAAGGAGAGGAAGTCAGTTCAAATCTTGGAAATGTTTTTAAAGAAAATAGTAAGGCGAAATAATTGTGTTGATGTTTCGTAGCAATACTTAACAGTAATTATGCTTACTGTGGTATTTTTAAGAAGTTCAAAACAAGTACTCCCTCTTTTCTTAAAAGTTCGACTTGCTTTTCATTTAAAGTTGTTACCCCTCTTACCCCACACTATTTACATCTTTACTCTCTCTTAGTAATCCACCTTTTTCTTACACCCACCCACCTTTTTACCCCATCTCTTTTACTTTATTTGCTTTTTTTTAACCCACCACTTTTTCCATGCATTCCTAGAAACAAGATTCTACCGTAAGCAGGTCGAACTTTCGGGAAAGGAGAGAGTAAATTAGTTGTATAATTTTTGTTTAAAGCTCCCTATTTCTTTTGACACCTTGCCTAATTTTTCATTTTCCCCCGTTGAAAAGAGTTTTTTTTTTTTTTTTTTTTTTTTTTTTTTTAAGTAAAAATTTCTAGCTTTATTTTCAATGTTTTTCCCTCTCTTTACTTTGCATGAAATTCAAAGGTTTTATTATCTTATGCCATTTCTATGTTTTTACGTTGATGGTTTAGTTTTCTGAAAATTCTAAGCAATAATGTTAAAAAAAAAAAAAATATGCAAAGAATCTTTTGAAAGAGTGGCTAAGATTTTATTCCATATTTCTGTAAGTTGTGTTTTAATTTTTGTTAACTAAAACATAACTTAGTATCAGCTTTGCTATTGGTTTGACTTTCCACAATCAATTATATATTGATGTAGGTTATTTAAACAAGCAGAAAAGCTAATGTCTAAGATAATCACTTCATTGGCTGTAGCATGTAATAGTGGGAGGGTGAATATAGCTTCTGAGAAGGCCATTGGAATAATTATTTCCTATTTTATTTTCTACTGAAATTTGCTTGTTGCTTATAGTGATGAAGAGTCAAGTAGTTTTTTTCCTGTGATGAAGTAATTTCTCGTCTACTTGGCTGATCATGCACAAGGTCGTATTAATAATAAGCTACTAACTGCTTGTCAATTCTTTCTATAAATGATAGTGCTACACTGGAAAGAATCAGAGAGTATCCAAGTTTGTATGTTCTGATGATTCAATTGCTAGCACGAGGTGGGCGATTTGGAGAACTGGGCTTGTTCGTCATTGATAAGGTTTTGATGCAAATTCAATTGTAGTTTATTTTTTTAACCTGCGAAGACTCTGTATCAATTTACTAATGAAATTACACTGCAGATTATTGAACCTTCAAAAGAAGTTGCTTATCAACTACTAGAATCTGGCCGTCAGCATCCTCCAACAAGGAAGCTTGGAATAGACATGCTTAGGCAGCTATTATTGCATCATGATTATGTACTGTCACTGCTGCAGGATGGATACTATCTTGAAGCCTTACGCTATGCGCGTAAATACAAGGTATGCTTCTCTGCTGTGCACCAATTAACAGATCTTTTTTTATTTGTCTTCTACTTTTCATAAGAATTAGCAAGATGACTACTAAAGTATCTTCCTTGCGCTCCCCTGCTTTTTCTTTCTTCTTTTGGTTGATTTGGCCTCCCTAATCATTAAATGTTCTTTTACGAGGAAAGCTAAGTAGATACTTGGTACTGTGAGTCTGTACTCCTTCACCTGACCTTTAAAATACACAATTCTATTAAGATGTACCATAAAATGCTGAAAAAGATGTATAGTCTCAAACTCTCAATGTATGGAGTTCATTTAATTTTTTTTTAACAAAACGAAATATGTGATTTTCAGGTTGTCACTGTCCAGCCATCTTTATTTCTTGAAGCAGCCTATGTCTCAAATGATTCTCAACATCTGGCCTCAGTTTTAAGATTTTTTTCAGACTTCATGCCTGGCTTCAAAAACACATCAGATCATGCTACATATGGCGAGATTCTGCGCCAGATGAATTCTCCTTGCGTAGGTGCTTAGTTGCTTATGTTCTCTTTATCAACGAGTAGCCTCAGCAACAGGACATAATGATGTTTAAGCTACAAATTGTTGATGAATGATGATGATGTATTTATGGTATACCCAAAAACAAAAAGCTGATGACTTATATAGTATGTATAAGCGACAGGTTTTGGAGGAGGAACACTGCTCGGTAAAAATAGATTGAGTTCATTATTTTTACAAATTTGTTTTTGAGCAATTGTGTGTGCACTACTTTCAGTTTAGGCATCACCGCATCAGTTATTCATTGTTACTCTCCTGATCTGGTAATTCATACTACAAAATTTCACGTGTTTACTATGATTAGGTTTCCTTAGAACTAGAACGTCTAGAAGTGACAGTGGATCATGCCTCTCCTATATAGTTGCGATGAGTATGTTGTCCACAACAACAACAAAAAAAAAAAGGGTTTTTCTACGTAGTAACCTCGTATTTTTCACTTTTCTACGCTGTGTCCTAACATATATGACTTTCTACGCTGTAATCCTAAAACACGAAAAGTGACTATATGGTGCCCTCGCCGTTAAACTGCCGATAGGGGGTTCTGTTAACTTTAATGAGAGTGTGTATATTAGTCTGTTATTAGTTTTGGGGGAGTATTTCCCTCCAAAAAACCCACTGCCCCCCTCCTTTTTTCTTCTTCCTCTTTTTATAATTACCCTGTTTCTTTTCAATTTTTCTAGGGTTTCATTGTAGGCAATTACAGTTTCAATTGAAGCAAGAAGCCATGTCTAGTTCTCGCTGCCCGTTCCCCTCAAATTCATCATGTTCCTTGCAATTCTTGAGCCCGCGATGTTTTTGCAACCCTCCAAAACTAGCAAAGTTAAAGATTTCAACAACTCGCAACCTTAGGAAAGCGTTCTTTAAATGCAACGATTGCGGCTTTTTCAAGTGGATGGATGAAGGTGATATGCAGGGTCTTGAATCATTGAGGGCTGATGAAACCGAAATTGCATCTCTGAAAGAGAAAGTAATAGAGCTGATTAGCTACATTAGGGAAGTTGTTAAAATTGGTGTTTTTATGTATGTTGTGTTACTTATAATTGTGCTGTTAAAAATTACGGGGTGAAGTGATTGTAATAGAAATATTGCTGTTACTTTTATGTGTTAATGAAATGGGTGGAAAAACCCTTTTTTTTAGTTTCATGAAATTTCATCAATTTGTTTGAGTTGTTGTTATAGTTATAATATAATGAACTCCACAATACATCAATCATAAACAGGCAACATATATAATACTAACAGCCCAATATATACATAATGTCAAAAGTTTTACATCCAACATCTAACATCAGTGTTTAACACCCAAAAAATCATCCACCATTTCCAATCATAAGTTTAACAGCCTAATACATAATTCAACCAAGTTTGTTCCCAAAAGAAACTTGAAAATATTAACAGTAGTTTAAATGTGTCCAAAAAAAAGCCGTTGTCATGCTCAAATCATCCTTGACCTGGTGGAACAGAGGGGCTCATAACATGGCAAGCCTATTCAATATCTTTTGCCTTTTATGCAAAGAAGTTGTGGTTGGGGTAGGCTGAGAGGAAGGCCCTTCAGTAGCAGGAGGCTCTCTGTTTCTGTTCCTAGATGGCAGCACAGGTTGGCTTGAGCACTCTGCATTTGACTGAGTTGAGCTGGTACTAATCATTTGGTTAATCAAGTTGAAATCCATCTCTGGCTGGTTTGCTGCCTTGTTCTCTTGCCCTTTGCTGCAATGGCGGGTGCCTTACCTTCCTGCTCCAGAATCTCCTTCTTAGTCAAACCACCCTTGCAAGTAGCAACATTATGCCCATGTTGTTTGCAATTCTTGCACTGAACAGTAGGAGACCTCTTCCCTTTTCTCTTCTCTCCTTCTTCTCTTCTCCTATTTCTGGAAGGTCTGCCAACACTTCTTTTCATTGGAGGTGGGACTAGTTTGGAAACATCCATGTCAAGTCATTGCTCAGGGGATGAAATGTGCAATATATTCCCACTATATGCCAACTTATACGTAGCCACATAGTACCATTCCCTCACAAAATCATTTGGATCTTTCCCAGAATCAAGTATGGCCCTAATTCCATGCCTACATGGAATGCCACTTACTTGCCACCTACCACAAACACATGACCAGCTGTTCAATGACACTGGGAGCATACTTCTTCCATCAAACACTTCATACACTCCCCTTCCAGAAGGATATGCATGGCATAACCTGGATTCTTTGGTCAAAGCCCTAACCCTCTCTCTAATGTTAGGACAGATGCCTTCCTCCACCCATTACTCAGCCAGTTGTTGTCTTGTAGCATGCCTAACCATAGCAATCCTCCTAATTCCTGTCATGGTATAAAAAAAATTTAGTGAAGTCAATAATCACAGCCCAACATATATATTGATGGTGTTTACAAATATGCTATACCTTCAAGTAGTGTTAGGATGGGATAACTCCTATATACCCCAATAGTATTGTTGAAACTTTCAACAAAATTGTTGGTATTCTCATCAGAAGACAGTTGGGGGTCAAATTTCCACCTTGTCCATCTATCAAGGGGCCCCACCTCCTTAAACCACTTCACAGCTCCAAGTCCAGCAGCAGACTGTACTTGAGCTTTTTTGAAACTGAAGGTAGAGTAGGCATTAGTCACCCCCCAAAACAGTTTGGGTAATCAGCTTTGAATTTTTTGCACAAATGCCTTGCACAGTATCTTCTGGGAACTTTTGGCCACACTTGATCCAAAGCAGGGTCAGCTCCCTAGCACAGATAAAGAAACATTAGTTAAACTGACTTTGATAATTAAAATACACACAACTTAGTCTTAATTTGCATAGAGATCTACAAACCTTTTGCCTATCTAATATTATAGTCCAGTCAATCCTTCCTGTGCCAATGAGAGTGTTCTTCAGGTGATGAAAGAACCAAGACCAACTTGTCTTGTTCTCTGAATCTACTACAGCTACTGCAACTGGGAAGATTTCATTATTCCCATCTAAAGACATAGCTGATAATAAAATTCCTCCATAGTTGCCTTTCAAATGGCAACCATCAACACCAACTAAGCCCCTGCATCCTAGAATTAACCCTTCAAATTGTGCTGCAAAGCTGATAAAAATTGACTTGAATTGGAGAGAGTGTTCAGGCTGCTGTAGGGCTTTCCAGGTACAAAATGCCACTATCCCTGGGTTTCTCTCCTTCAGCAAATGACAGTACACATTAAGATTGTGATATGACTCATCATGCCCTCCCTGAATGAGGTCCATTGCAATACTCTTCATTTTGTATAGGGATGAGCATGCCATTGTAATACCAAATCTCTCCCAAAGTAATTGATTAAGTGCTTTCCCTTTGATATCTGGGTTGGCTCTAATATCTTCCAACAACTTCTGAGCTGCCCACTTGCAATTACACATTGGATTATTAATCATGTTCATGTCACATGTATGCCCATGATTTATGCTTTTTATGGCCCAAGTAAACCCATCAATGAGTACAGTAACATAAATCCTCCACCTGCATCTGCTGTCAGCACATTCAGCAGTGTATCTGTCATGTTCAGCTTTCCTCACTACCAATCTGAATCCTTCTTGGATGCAATAGTCTCTAAGGGCATCCTTGAAGTGATCCCTATCAACAAACAATTGCCATGGTCTTAAGGAAATTCTCCCAAACTCTGCATCATCATACACCTTACCCTTGTTATACAACTATCGCATATAACCCCCTTCAGCACCAGCATATTTCTCATTACACCTGAATGGCTCCCAACCTCCATCAACATAATTCTGTTGCAATAACTCACCCACATTCTCCTCCACTACATCTGGATCACCATCCTCACCTCCACTCTCAATCTCAATCTCTTGCTCTTCTTTAGGTATGTACTCACCATCACTCTCAGAACTGCTATCATCATCACTATCCAGGCTATCATCATCATTAGCCTGGACCCCACTTGCACCTCTTCTCCTAAGTACCCTACCACTCCCACCTTCTGGAGTAATTTGGGATGACCATCAACCAAAACCTCACCCATGAAACCACCACCCCCACTTAGATCCCCCAATTTCTAGCTTTTTACAAATTTCAATGGTTTTTTCAATGGATTCGAAAATGGCACTGGAAAATTTCCATGGGGACGTCGATGTTGTCAATTTGCAATTGGGTGTTTAGGTTGTCGAGCACGGCAGACCTTGGCGACAGCGATGAGCTTCTTTCAAATGCACGAGTAAAATGATCCTCCTTAAATGGGGTTTCATCGCCATATTTCGAGGATTTGAGCTTGTAGGGGGTTTTGATGGAGTTTTGAAGGAAGAGTATCCTTTTGAAGAGAAGGAGGTGGAGGAGAGAGATTGGGATGAGATTATAGCGGTGGTGATGCGGCGGAGAGAGAAGGGGATGGAAAGGGTGGCGGAAGTGATGGTTATGGATGTACGGTGGTGGTGTTGTTTTTGCCAAAAAACAAATTACATGTTAAAAATGGGACTGTTTTGGGAAGATGGAGGTTAAAAGTGGGAATGTTTCCAGATTGCTTAAGGTAGGATTGTTTTGAGTAGAAATGGCAAAGGTGGGATTAATAGTTTCCATTTTTCCTTTAACGTAACTAGCAAGTTCAGTTGGCTACAATCCGGATACGGCACACCACAATAATTCGAACATTGTAAACTAATTAGAATCCATTTTGTTGCCAGTAAAACCATTGTTAAAAGCATTGGAGTGATATGGGTGCATTTTCTTTGAAATTCATTTGTCTAAACTTAGACTTAAATTATTTTGTCTAAACTTATACTTTGTATTATTTTATCAAGTGTACACTCGGTTTACAATAATATTATGGTATTTTTAATGTAAATAGGCAATAGTATAAAGGTAATATTGTTACTTTTGTTCACTTAAACTTGATTTTTACTCGACCTATGTTTTATTTTTTTTCTTTTTTGGTGTTTAGAGAGCCAAAAGGGCGAGGGTGAAAATTGATCGTAGGATCTCCTGGAACCGGGAGGGAAGCTTTAACCACCTGAGCTATCCCTCACTCTCTTTACTCGACCTACGTAATGATGGATAAACTTGCTTTGAGTTAATAATATTTGCTCCTGTTTTCTTCAAAAAAAAATTCAAAAAAAAAAAAAAAATTGTGTTTTTTACTTATAGAAAGAGAGTAATTTTATCAATAATCATAGATAATTTTTTGTTTATAATAGTTTGACTTTTATTTATATTGGGG